GAATGATCCATTTTTGTCTTTAAGATATATAGACGACAAATTTGCGGCGTTCTGACAAAACAAACAAAACAGACAAAAACACTCGATTTAGGTACTTTTGTGCGTTATGTAATAGTATGTAGTCTGTGTTATGTACTATTAGTGTTCACAAGGAAGTGATCGCTTATACATATAAATGACGTGTTCGAAGGTTTGAATATAACCTTAGTTTCAACTGAAAAAACAGCTTTCTTTAACTTTAGTTGGCGCACTTTGTATTATGCCTTATTTCAAAACGCATTGAAATTAACATACAAAACGAAATTAAATGATGTAAGGTGATTTTACATAGCAACAATTTTACTTTCCCGTCAATAATGCGTAGAAAAAAGGAAAAAATATATAACAATATTCATAAAAACGTATTTAAATAATTTATCAACTTTAATATAAAATAATATATTAAATTACCGACGAAAGTAAATTTAATATATTTCTGACTCAATATTTTATTAACTATTACGCTGTCCGGACTGCTACGTTCATTGTGTAATGAACAACGAATGCAAAACCATGATAAAATTTACAGGCGGTGGATTAACTTTTTTAGAGTCAATATTATTAAACTGCCGATTTTATTTATTAATCAAACCAGCACTAATTAATATCGAAGTTCATATATACATATATATTTTGCTAGGTGCAAAGCAAAGTGTAAAGGTAAGTTCGAAATTATTCGCATCGGTCGCAAAAAACGTTTCAGCAGTAAATTTTTGTTCCTTTTCGTAGAAAAAGTGTTTGGAACTTAGGATGCATTTGAGATGCAGAACATAAATAGCATCAACTTTCCAATATTCCGCATTTATGAACCTTGTTCCGAAAATCATTCATTTAATAAAGTTATTCTATACACATATATAAACAATAATTGAAGAGTATAACTTCTAAAGGGTCTAAGTCCAAATCCTAAAGTTGAAAAAATCAACAAAAACACTTTAAAATATTAATAAAACCATCTTTCGAGCCATCTTTTGACGCATCGTAAAAGCCTTGCAGTTTCCAATGCATATAGACCCTTTTCAGATGGGTTGGGGTTGGCACTTACGACCGTTTACGAGCAAAATATAGATTTTTGAATATATGGCACTTAGACCCTTTAGAAGTTATACTCTTCAATTATTCCTCAAAATTGTGACTATCGAACCGATCGCTCTTCCTGCATTTGAATGGAGAAAACGATAAATTAAGTCTAAGAACTAGTCTTGTTTTTTTCTAATTTCACTTTTAGTCAATTTTCTCGTTAATCGGGTTGTGTTTATAAGTGCTCTAATAAAGTTGCTGGGAGAAGGAAGAAGGATTGTCTGCTATTTCGTGTACGATAAAGGGGATTTAACGAGATCCAGTTACGTCACTCCAAATCGTTTGAAATTGAAGCAGTTTTTCAGTTAACGTTGCCGCTTGAACTGTAACTGTAATAATTACTGTAATAACGTAATAGTTTGCCTCTCCATAAATATTTCGAACAATTCATCAGA